GACGCTGTTCTTCATCCATACGCAGTTGTTTTCTCTGCAAAAATTATATAAAAGAAAACACTTAAAAGAAAATTGGTGCTGAAGGTTAGAACTGAGGGCAAAAGAGGAAAGGGGTCAGGATGGAGTTTTTTGTTTGGGTCCAAGGATCGGATGAGCACCGGTGTGGGTAATATGCTGACTCCGTGCAATATGTTGGAATGAAAGAGGAATCGACAATTTGGATAGTGTCTCGCTAAGTTATAGAGAGTGAGCGGACAAAGCCACAAAAAACAATTGGAAACTTTTGGAAACACGTGAAACTCAGCTCCACACACTTCTCCCACCCTCTCTTCTCCCCTCCAACTACATTTCCGCCTATGAAATTTGAAGCCTCATACTGCCGCTAGGCGTTAAGGGTAAAAACCTCTAGCATCAGTCAAGCCCGAAAGAAACCTTCAACAGCAGCAAACCTTCTCTTCCTTCAGTTTTGCTTGAAGTTTGAATTGTTCCAGTTGTTCGGCAGCTTTAATAGACATGGACGACGCCGTGTTTGACTGCAGCGGATCAACACCAGGCAAATCTTCAAGAAACGACTTGACAAAAAGCTTCCCCGAAATAGTTTCTGATAGAAACTCACTCTGCTTAGATTTAGACGGTCTCATCTGCGACCGCTGGTCAATGTTGGGAAGTCCTGAAAAGATACAACATCCAAACTGAGCGGAACAACACAAGTGCAAGTGTCTGCCATACCTGTAGACCCTGGAGGCGTGCCAGTTGCATGGCTATCGGTGGGAAGGAGTTTGTCCAGGATTGAGACACCTTTAGGTTACACATTAATAACAATCAGAATTGGAACCTTCACAACTGTTTCAGGTACCTGCTGACGAGGGAGTCTCAGGCCTTGTATCAACAGGAAGTAACTGATCTAGTATCGAAACACCTGAAAATTGGATTTATTCTCAACCTATGACAACATTGGGGAATGCCCTTAAACCAAACTATAGACCCTCTTTCTCGTAAAATACAGCAAATACGACTAATTGTAATTTATGTATATCATATAACCTACTTGTCGAAGTGATAGGTGTTCTCGGCCTTTCCTCGCTCACTGGGAGAAGCTGGTCGAGGATGGTAGCACCTTCAAATGGAGTATTCAGAAAAGAGCTCGCAGAAGATTAGCTGATAAAATGGAGAAAATCCTACCTACTGCACTTGATCCTACAGTATTGAGCGGCTTACTTGATGCCAATGCAGAATAATCAGCTATAACAACGAGTAATAAATTGTAACAAAATAGAAAGACCAACTTAAATGTAACAAAGTGTCATGTCAATTACCTGAGTCTTTCCTAGTAGCAACACTTCGGAGCGCACGTTTTGTTCCTCTCGGTGCAACCTTTTTCAACGTAGTCGATTTCTCCAAATTTTCATTGCGTTGATCAACATGTTCTTCATCGGCCTTCGCGAGGGGTTTCGCTTCCTTGACGACTTTGTTTCTTTCCCCTTCAGAGTCACCAGTCTTTGGCGAACTGCTTTGGTCCATGACGGGTGTATGACGGTTCCCTGCCGGCGATAAGGGCACACTTTGAGCACGCAAAGCGGTGTGTTGTGTCTCAGATGGCTGCACTGATGCAATGGCGCTATCCACCGAACCCGCCTGCGATTGCTCGGATTGGTCCACATGCATGGGAACGGATGGCGAACGAGACGAGCTTAGCTCTACATTGCCTGGCCGAGGATCCGTCACAGGGAGAGGCCCCTCTCCGGTTACTGTCGGTTTGACTGAAGAGATTGCTCCATTTTCGACAGCTTCAACCGAAGCTGACCTTTCAGTGTTCACAATGTTCTTGGCTTGAGTAGCATTTCTGGAAACTGTAGGAAGAGTACGAGCACGTGATCCTGTGGGCACCTTATTGGCAATAACATCTGTGCTTGTGGCTATATTAGCACCGGCGGGAGGAGCATCAGAGAATGAAATCACGCGAGGACGACGACGTCGTTGTGGCCGAGTGGAGGAAGAAGATTCAGGTGGATGAGGACTTTTCGACGGAGAAATACTCTCAGCAACTGTGGGAGGGGCTTCAGCATTTTGTTCATCCATCAGGTGTACCTTCGCTTTTCCGGCCTTGTTCGAGAACAGGAGTCGCATGGGTTTTGAATCTTCCGACGCAGGAGCTTCTAAAACGATCTGCTTCAAATGTGAAATATTTCACATAAAAAAACAATACTTTTTTTTTTACAAAGTAGCTTTTTTTGAACCAATTTGGTCGTTGTACTGTAAATGGTATTCAGTCTTGAGTGAATCGCTACCAACTCACTACCGCTTACAGGTAAGTCTTTTCGATACATGGATTCGTGTTAACACTACAGATTTCTGGTGGACTTCCCTAAGTATTCAGGTGAGCTAAAGAACTTTACCCATGTAATCTCGGACTAAGCACACTACTGTGTCACCCGAGACCAAACTTGAACAAGACCTGGATCAATTAGTGGGATCGACAGCGACATAAAGTCTGTTGGGTCCCAGTTGGAATCAAGTTATATCAGCTACCCTTCAGACTCCATACATCTAACCACACCCCTTCAAACAGACATGTGGCTTTGATCGGCAATATACTTCGTTTACCCTGTGGAAGAATTACAAGGAATGGATCGGTTCATCACAAATATCTCTTTTCATGAACAGCATTCCGATCAATACTCCAATAATCACAACCACCTGAAACCATTCGACCGAAAACACTGATCAGACACATAAGAAACTCATCAGCAGCATATTGTAACGACTTCATCTCTCTAGTACAACTGACTTTTCATTAAGTCGTCTGCTGCTGAATGAAACCCTTCATCTTCATCTTATACCTTCTTTCAAATTATGGTGAAAACAGAAGAAAAAAGAAAAACAACTTGTAAAAATGGGCGCAACTCGATCTCTCTGCATTGTGTGGCAATGGATGTGCTAATGAAATGGAGGTGAAATGTTTATTATCACTTTTTAAATGTTGTGTCTACTAAAATCTAGAGCCGTTATTAATAAACTGAGCAGATGAAATAATTTAAGCGAAATATGTTAGCCATATAAAACGTTCATGGCGTAGTAACACATGACAAAAAACATTACAACAAGATTAAGCATGAGATTCAGATTAATTCTTTTTGTTGGTATGTCAACAAGTTAAAAACTAGTGTGAAAAAAATGAGAAGGGAACTTTTGTGAAGTAAAACGGACCACAAATTAATAAGTTAACAATCACAAGTCATTTCAATAATTATGTACCAAACGAAGGTTAACGAAAATTAAAAACTGATAACTAGTACTTGAATAGAGTACGGCAACCCGACTTGCCGTGTGATACTTGGATGCACCAACTTATACGATGTGTTTTGCTTATAAAAATAAAATGGAGTAGACATCATATTTACAGAGACATAGAACGAGTCACCAAGTACAGTGTGGGCGCTGACCTCCGCAAGTGCGCTTTAGTAAATTGCGAACGCATTTTTAAAACAAGAGGAAAAATTAAAACTACGACGCTTAGTAGGCTAGGACGGGGGTGGCGGGACGGGGGAACTCGACTCGGCCCTTACCCCGCCACCCAAACAGAGAGATCGAGTGCCCATGCGCCGCCCATACACCACCCGCCTAACCTGATTCTGAATCGGATGAGTCACTGCTTGACGATGACGACGATCCAGAACTACCAGATGAGGATTCAGATGATGAACGGGCACGACTAACCACATGTCGGGAAGCATCTGCGGTGGATGCTGCTAGAACAACTTTCATGTTATGATCAGCTGAATGAAATCATGCAGCGTTGAGTGGGCTATACTATTAAAGGTTTTGTTAGCGTAGGAAACAAAGGAAAATGGAACGTACCGTTCTTGTTGGATTGCTGAGCTGAAACAGTTCCACCGAGCTTCTTAATCTTATCCTCGATTTCACGTTTACGCGTTTCATTATCACTTTTAACTGCTATAATGCAGCAGTCAGATAAACAGTTAACGACCAGCATGCATAGGATTAAGTAATGAGTTATAACCAAGCACGAATCACTTACTCTTCCGTGGTTTCCGTTTCAAGGCTGCGGCTACAAACGCCTCGAGGTCACGAAGGGTAACAGCTTTGAGGGTTTCGAAATCAATTTCAATCTCCTCCGGACTTATATCCTGAAATGTAAATTGGAAAATTGCAGGAGTAAAAGTATGTAATGAAGCAAAAGTAGACTTACTGATAGGTCTTCTCTGCTTTCAATAATACTGACGACCATACTGAGTTTATCACCCGGCAGTTTGTTGATGTCAAGACTGAGTTGTCGCTTTTCATCATAAGACATAGGCTCATGAGATGCTTCATCACTTGAATCAAATTCATAATCGTCCTTCCACGGCTTCCCATTAGCCGAACTCTCCGCTTTCGGCTTATTTTTCGAACCGGGCCTACGACCCCGTCCACAATACAACTTGGCTGGCTCGTTGATTGCGTGGGATTGCGGGCGCTTCATCGCTTCCTTACGTGGCTGTAATAGTACATTAAAAGATGTATCAAAGTACTCATAGTAATCTATCAACCCACCAATGGTGAGATCGAGGTGGCAGGTCCATTTGACAGAGGCGAATCTTCTTTGATATGAGCAGGAGGACCACGACGGGTTCTGTTGGTCGGCGTCAATGGTTGAACAGTCACACCACACTGTGCTAACGTCTGTTGCACAGAGCTCATCAATGTTGGAGGAACAGATGGCACTGATCCCTCCCCTTGTTTAGCCTCCTTCCTCTTCATTTGAAGCTCTGCGAGTTCCGTAGCATACTGTCCCATTTGGTCCAGACGTTCTTGGAGCTTCTTCCTTTGCGTAACCAACTGCAAAATGGCTATTTAAAAATGAAACTCCGTACATAGTTCACAAACTAATCACTTACATGATTGAGGAATAGATCGAGTTGATCGTCCTCGTCCATATCGCATGAGGTAGCTACAACATTTGTATCCGCAACATCTTCATCAGCCGGCAAGTGTTGCCACTAAATCATAAGTCCATTCGATTGAATAACACCACCAACAGCATTTTGCCCTGAGCAATCTGCCAGCACATTCAGACTCACCCTTTCTTCAAACGCTCGTAAAAGAGCTCTTCCATGCTGATGAATAACATCTGTGGCAGGATTGTACGTGAAACAATTAGAGCATACCTGAAAAAGAAGCAAGTTTCTACTCGTGTTCTACACATGATGAAGCTAATGATCAGAAGACGTACCAGCTTAATGTCATCAGCGAATTCTTGTGCGGTTGCGTACTGTTTATTGTCCAACTTCTTTTTTATCGTACCAAGATCCATGGGATTGGTAATAATGTCGTAGTAATCGGAAAGATTCATCCCTTCTACGTCAACAGGAACCAAAAACGGCCAATTAAATGCCTAAAATTGAAGTCAATGATAAATGTTGATTGAAAGGCTGAAAAACTTATCGAAATGATCACGTACTTTGCACTTTTTGCCCATCAGCTCATGTAACACCTTGTGGCAAAACTTCATTGACTCTGAAGCTTTACCCTTATACCTAGGAGGTAGCTGTGTATAATCAATGAAATGCGCCGGTTTCTTAACAGGACGTGCCGATTCACGACGAGGAACCTGAGAATTAGTGTCTTCTGTCTAAAAGTTGTTGTTTCGTTATATTTGCCTACAACATCGAAGTAATTACCAATGAATATTACCTTCCCAGAGTCCTCCTCAATGAGAACACCGGTTGTGGTGTCTGCTTTCCTCTTCACCCCTTTCTGTACCTTAAGAGGATGGAGCGTTGAGGAACTTATCTGAAATAATACTCAAACATTGGGGTGGGGAAGAAATTAGGAAATCAGAGAATACTGAAGGACAACAAATACCGGAACATCCACACTGGTTCCGCTTGATGATTCTTCCACGACATTAGGTACATCGGAATCACCAAGCACGGAAGAGCTATCTGCAGCACCTCGTTGTATTGAAGATTCCCTCGACGCTGAAAATACAACCCTTTACTAATGGATAACCCAACATGGCCTCAAGAGAAACAGCATGGGGTTATATCTACTACTCTGAGTTAGAACAACAGATAGAGATCCCCGTTTTACAAAATAAGAAGGCAGATATGAGGGAGTCTACGCAGACCTCTAACCGTCGCATTATGAAAATGTTCTAAGACGTGCTGGGCATCCTCGCTCCCACCTCGAACGAAAGAAGCTGACTTCCGTCCACCGGCAGGAGCTGGAGACGGGCCCTTGCGGAGTGTTTTAGGACCACGCTTCGAGGACGGCCGTGCGATCTCGACTTCCTGAAAAGTAAATTATAGAATGTGTCGTAAGCGACAGCGGAAATCCAGCGAGGCTTTGGGAAGCGAACAGATAGGACAGTGGTTAGTAAGAAGCACACCCGAGCATGGTAAATTATAAAATAAAAAACCTCGTGAGGCAAACTCTGCATACAGTCCCTATACACGTTCTCGACATTTTGGCACATTATTGTCACGTCATCTTCCACTTGATTGAAGGTGTAACAGTTGCGGAAGATATCTTCGAAATCCTGGAGAAAAATCCACTAGAATACTTACATCAGAAGGCATATCAGCAATCTTGGCCAAGAAGAGTTGTTCGAGTTCGCGACCCATTGAAACGATCTCACTGTGAGGAGGGTTGAAAGTGTAGCAGTTGTTGAACATTGTCATTATGTCCTACAATATATCGGAGAACCTCTACGCTATCAACCCATTGTACCGTGCAACAGAAACGGAATCCATGTACGGGATTGGTAAATATCCGAAACTAAGCGATCGAACCAAGACTTACAATTTTTTAAAGTTACGATGTTGAAGCTCATAGATTCCAGTTCTGGTGGTACAATTGATGAAGACTCTCCGATACAAATGTCACATTTTCGCCCATGATTTAAAAATTCTCTGAGATATTTGATGCCCCGCGAAACTCGAACAAAACTAACGCAAATTCGACCATTTGCAAATATTTTGCCGTCTTAAAAAAGCACGCTCCCGTGTTAACCGTTGTAATCGAATAAATCTCGTAAGAGAAGAAACGATAAATAACGGTAACAGGTGATAGTTACAGTTCCTCACTACTCGCCTCAGCTAACAATTGAAAACCACTTTAATTGGTGGTTGATTTAAGCTGCGGCTAGCAGTTAGAAACGGCAGAAAAAGACGAGTTACTTCACAAAAAATTCCAGAATGGTAGGAATTTATGAACGAGAACATCGTTGAAACTAAAATAAAACCAGCCAATGGCTTGGTTCAAATCTATTGTTCCGGAAATTTCAATACCGACTAAATTAGTAAATTAAGATCCCAGAAAAAAAAATATTAAGCAGTCAAAGTTTAACCTCCATGCACTCCTTCGCTGAATAGTAATAGATATTCTGCAAGCGCTTTTGTATGGTCTTCATATCCATAGGACGACGAATCACTTTGTGATAGTCCTGTGAATTTTTATAGCGATAACCAGAAATAAAGACAAGACAGAAATGCACACCAAGACCTACCGGGAGGTTCAACTTAACCGTATCCACTGGCACATTGAACGGCCATGCATGCTTGTGTTTCATCACTTCTTTGAGCACCGTATTCAATATATAGTCCAGCTGATTTGTGTGCCGCGTTGGCTTTCCCATCGGTGGGATGACTCGTGGTTGAACAATGCCATTTACGGGCTCCTAATGATCAAGTAAATGAAAATCGAAGGCCAAATTATAAGGAAGTATAAGTGAAAAAATTTACCTGCCGTGGAGACGCCCAAGGGTTCTCCGGCTTTTTGGCACTGTCGTCAGCCGCACTGGCCGTGGCTCCTTCTCCTGATGTACTTACAGCGTCAGCGATTTTCTGTGTATCATTACCGGACATTCCCTTCTTTCGAGGCCTAGAAAAAATTGAACAATAAATAGCTTATAAGAAAATGAAACGATTAAAAACATGCACTGGCAGTATAGAGGAAGCCATTAAAAAAGGGTATATTCAAGCTACATAAAATTCCATGACTGTCAAAAATATAGCACCCAAGTAGTGCTATTTGGATATCACATAATGATGCCAGAGATCACGGGGATAATGCCGAAACAAGTCAAAACCAATCAAAATGTTTGAATGTTGGGCCGGTGACCGCAACGCAGCCATTGACGCAACGCGGTGGCATCCTGCCTCGCAACACTATGCCACGACCGCATAGGTGACGAGCTTCAAAGGACTAGAATCAGACGACAAAACTCTGTTATTTCCATGGTTAATGTGTAGGAAGGGTCTATCAGAGGTCAAGCTGGTTCAAATCCCTTGTCGAGCTTTAAAAGAGGAACGTTAGCTCGTTCACGCCTCTACACGTCTCACGTCAAACATAGATGACGCCAACACAATGAACGATAACCAATGTCTCGAGAAGCCATTTGCGGATCTTCTTGAAGCGATTAGGTTAATCATAATAGTATACATGTTTAAGCTACATTAAAGAAATACATACACACACAGAGTTGAAGCGCTTAGAGAGAGAGAAAGAGTCATGGCCTAGAACATTCCCTCGATCGATTCATTCATTGTAGACAGTGGCAAAATACGCGATGGAGAGCGTTGCCGGGGGAGAACGCAGGGGCGAAAATCCTCTACGTCTCTCGCGGAACGGCCACGGTGCGACGGAGCCATCAAGGCCCTAAAGCCAACGGCTTCATTTCCCCTAATCGTATAAGGTTGAAATGCTAGGTTTGGGTCGAAACCGCCCACGAAGGCCTTCAGTAAGTGTCGAAGATGTTGGGAAAATTCCGTTTTCCGCCAAATATCCCGTTATTTCTCGCACAGCAACAGTTTGCCGGACTGCCCCAAGTCTTTTAAATACCACCCAACAAGTTCGGGAAGTATCTTTGTGTTGGATCCATCCCTAATCTCTTAGATGTCTCTTTACCCCTCCTACATAAGAAGTTATCTTTGAGTAGTTTTAGGGGAATCGAGCAACAATGCTGCACTATGCAAGGGTCCCACTACGACAGCGCTACAGTAGGGGATTCCTCGCAGCCTTTAAGCCGCGTGACGCAGCCCACGGTGAGGCCCATACGATGTACCTCTGTATTGATTGCGTAGAACTCTATGGGAGAGGTAGACAGGACCCCCCATCTTGGCAAAACA